AAAAAAAAAAAAAAAAAAAAAAGACAGGCAAATCGAGAAACGGTCCAAATTAATTTGAAAAAAATGGGCGGGCAGAACAGAACAGGGGCGAGAGGAGGGGGCGGCAAGGTGCAAGGTGTGGCAGGGGAGGTGGACGAGAACACGCTGGTCTTGGCTGCGATGAGGCTTGGCCTCGCGTTGTGCGGGCCGAGAGTGCATCTTCCCCTAGGACGTGGAAAGAAACATTGCCATGATTTTTTGTCTTTTGTGCTTGTCTGAGAGTGGTGGAGCGAGTAAATTTAAGCAATAAGCTACCAGTCAAATTTTGGTTCTCGAGACAATTGAACATGCATCGCAGGACGCACAAGAGATATCAGAAGGAGAGAGAATAGACCAGAGAGCACACCATAGGAAGAGAAGACAACGATGTGCCGAACCCCACTTATATTGAAGATAATGAAGATTAAAATAAAATAAAATATAATTAAAAAAAAAAGCTTAAGAAAAAAAAAAAAAAGCTTGAAGCAGAGATATGGCCGAAAAATTTGCCCGGTGCCTACAGGTTTCCTTTTTTTCTTTTTTTTTTCAAGTCCATGGTGTTGTAGAGGCCAGTCACTGAGTACACAGTGCTCACCTCGAGGCTGGAGCAGTAGGCCGTGGGTGTCCTGGACTATGAGACAAGGCTTACCCTGAGTGTAGCAATTATCCCTGAAGCTCTCCTTAGAATCCTTAGAAGCCCTCACCATGTATGCACGTTGTTCATGTTTGAGGTCATCAGTCTTCGATCCTCCATAAGGTGGACGAAGGGGCACAACAGGTGGGTTACTGGGGGGACCTCGTTGCACTAGCAGTGTTGAGTTTCTTGAACGCCCGAATGTGGAGGTGTTTGTGGAGATGTGCGGTTGAGGCAAACTCAAGGCGATTTCTGCACATCTCCACAAACACATCCAGATTGGGGCGTTGAAGAAACTCAACACTGCTGATGGGACGAGGCCACGGGACAGAGTGGGAGGCCGAAGCCCACTCTATCCTTTCTGGCTGCTACAAGTAGCAATCACCGAACAAGGGTAGCTCAGTTCATGGTACACCCATGAACTGTTGAAATGTTAGCCCGAGTTCGAAACCAGATGGAACCAGATAGATGAGGACCATTCCTGAATAACCTGGGGGCCGTCAGTTTCGGGATCAGGATGATTTCGCAAGGCGGTAGTCCAAGAAGGGAACAAAAGTAAGGGAGAGAAAAGAATGAAAAGGAGAAGTAGCTCTGACTGGTTTCTTAAGGGACGTAGGGCAGAGATTTTCTCATTGGTTGAGGATTTAGGTGGCATTTCTGCACTCCAGTCTGCAGTTCAGGATTGGGATCTCACGTAGGTTCCTGGATACGGCCTAGGAGTGGGGCCATCTCCGATGGGACTGTCCCTGGATGAGTACTCTTTGCAACACATGGATAGTAGCCAAGAGCACTCATCACGCCTTGTTTCTCCATCTCTCTGCTTGTTGCACACTCTGAGCTCAGTGGCATGTTCCTGCGCAGTGGGCGACAAGGTGAGTACCGGTGTGAGCTGAGTGCCACGTTGCGCAGTGGGCGACAAGGTGAGTACCGGTGTGAGCTGAGTGGCACGTTCCTGCGCAGTGGGCGACAAGGTGAGTATCGGAAACCATACGGAGGCAGGAAATGAATCCAGCGCAAATTTGGGGAAGGGTCATTGCAGATTTAGGTAAAGGAGGACTGGTCAAGATCAAGAAAAGGGGCGGGTTTACTATTTAACTTTTAAGGAATAATGAAGAGAAGGAAGGCCTCTTACTCGAGCTCTTCAAAGAAAAGATTTTGAAGGGCGGCGGTTCTTCGAGATCGCATGGTCGCCTGAAGGTTGTGCAAGGTTGCGCAAGGGAGACTCAAACGCGCTGAGGTTAGCGGCGGTAGTGAGGAAATCCGGAGTAGGTTTGAGGAGTAGGAATTCGGAAGGAATCAGGGGTAGTTTTGGATCGGAGGGGCCGCTCGCAAAATACACTACCGTCTGCCCCCGAGCATAACGCACCCTAAAAATGAATGTATACAAGCTATATTTCCGGCCAGATACAGCGAAAATGAGGGTGCGTTGTGTTCGGGGGAAGACCATAGGATGTGAGGGCAGGTGCCATTCTCGTAGGCTCAAACACAAAGGGCCCACAGCCCTGCCATCTCAAGCTGGGTATACCTTCCCTCACCACGCCTCGGGGGCACAGGCAACAGGAAGGACAGTGAACTCTACCAGCATATGTCAGTTGTCCAAACATTTGTCAGTCCACCTCTAAAAAAAAAAAAAAAAAACATTTGACAATGTCAGTCATTGATATGTCCTGTCGTCGTGAAGCCTACTATCGGTGGAACACGAACGGGTACCGGTCGGAGGGGCGCAGCGCTCCTCGGCAGCATCAATCATCAATCAAGGGCGAGGAGCCGCGCGCGCGGGAAAACTGCACGCAGCAAGGAAAATGGCGCGCCCGCGCTCGACGATTACGCGCGATTGGGTGCGCGCCCTGGGCTGAAAATTGGTCCACCGATGGGCTATGTCGAGGAGCTGAGGTGGTCCAAATTTCAGAGCAAATGGTCAAGGGGATGAGGAGATATCGAAGATCTAGCGCGCGCCATGAAATTCGAGTGTGTCGGGCGACGAGAACGACGGGGGCATGAGGTGGTGGTTGTACTGCTTGTATCTTTACAGGCGTTACGGCTAGATGCAGGCACGGTGGACGCTCGTGGTACGATGCAGCTGTTCATGAGATGACATGGTGATTCCGAATCTGCCTTCTTCCTCAACTATATGTAAGTGTGTGGTAAGTTTACGGCTACGGTGGTTCGAACCTCTTGTCGTGACTTGTCAACGGGCTTGGCAAAGGGTTGCCACACTGTTTTCGACTCCCTATAGGGATCGAAGATGGCCGCTTATACCTTTGGAGTTAGTGTTGCTTTGAGCCTTGGACTAAGAGCGGGAGGAAGTGAACTCTTCTTTCCCCAGAGGTGCAGGGGTAGGGTTTGAAGGGTGGGAGGTAAGTGGAAGGAAGGGGTTGAGGAAGAAGGGAGAAGGTTTTTTTTCTCAGCTTTCACTTCGTACGGGAACAGCGTCCTCATAGTTGGGCCCTGT